ACTTGTGAATTTTCTTTGGGTCATCGTAGACGGTCACAGCGAAAGTCCAACGGCCGTTGGCGGCCTCCGTTTCAATTCACACTTTTTGTCGGCCATCACGGCTGGGAGCTCGAGTGCATCCTCCTCCACACCTACTTCGGCTTCGGTCCAGTAGATTCTGGCTGAATATCACGCTGACATCCATTCTCGCATACCTGACCGAATCAACCCCCTCTCCTCCCTAGTACGGCGTACAGCTTTCGCTTAGGGAGGCGCGACCGTCCAGCAGTGTCTCCACTTTCCGCGTGGGCTTATCGGGACACCAGTAGGTGTGAGAGAAGTAGTGTCTCCAATCCCCGCGTGCGCTCACCGGTCCACCATTGGAGGTGACACTGATATAGGGTCACAAACATATGGCCAAATCGCCCTTCCTTTCCACACCTTACTGCAGTGCACCGTTTTCGACTGGGTTACTACGACAAATTAATTCTTGCCTTACTCGCCTGAGCTGATCCGTCGGTGCCTAGCTGGATTTCGCAGCGACATTCATTTGCGTTGTCCTGACGTAACCCATATCCCCGCCAATTTTTAATCTTATCCAGCGTACATTTTTCCGCCGGGTGGGCACGACCGATCGGTATTGTCTCCATTTCGTGCGCCACTAGACTGGCTACCGGTTAAGTCCCGCAACTCCTCTTCTTTGACTGTCTTTGCTCGACCCGTTAGCCCACTGCGTTACAGCTGGACGTCGTGTTGACGGGTTGGCCTTCTGCTTGGGACCAATCTCCTCGCACAACATGCCACAAGCGTATGAGTTCCCTAATAAGGCAAATTGGATAGCACGGTCAACAAACTAATCCCCTGCGTGAGCCTACTGGTTTTCCACTGGGTTGCGAGAGAAAAACCAATCCCAAATAACCTTCACATTAAATAATTGTATTAAATAGATATTACAAACTAGGACTTTTTCAGCGGAAGGCCGGTTGTTGGAGGTTCCGTTTGTTTGCCAGTAGGTTGTTTGTTTTCCTTGAATGCTACATCCAATGACTGGCCATTCAGGGGAACCTTAATTGACTCAGATTATTTGCCTGCGTCCAACGTTCTTCGGTGTTTTGTCAGTTTGGCTGATGTGCTGGTGATGGGAATCTGAGTGGCCTCCGGGTTGACTGGGAAGACTGAGGCTACATGCGGGATGAAAGTTTCTTAGCCTTCTGTCACCCGATGCAATATACTACCAAACCCTAGTCGGTAATGCCCTTCATCGACATGAATTCATAATGCCCCTCCACGGGCAACCCTACTTCAATGGAGTTTACCTTCTAACCTACTCCAATACGTCTCGACGGCGTCATTATGTAGGCCCGTCGTCGCATCTACATAATGTTAGGAATGATTGCCCTCTGATGGCAGGCTTGCATATGCTTTCCATTCGTCGGTTGCAGTTACACTACCTGGAACAACACATTTCCTTATCATTGCCCTCAGCAACAGCCATGATCTCCTGTGAACCTGCTCAAATATACCCCTTATGGGATTCGTCGTACAATCTAGTTACCCGACCCTGTCGCTTACGGCGTCCATCATTATGCTTTCGTCTGCTTATTAGCGTTTCGTCCACCTTCACCTAGACGCCGGGTTACCTACTTGTCTGCCTTCCCTCAGGAAGGCACTGGAGTACACATCCCAGCGTATGACGCACCGTGCACTAACAGTCCTTTCACTCACTTCCACTATTTATATGCACTGCATAACCGACATTTCTGATATAGAAGCCAAACACGCAGTCAGTTCCTCTCATATCGGCAGTTAGCTGCCGCAGAATATGAATCGCTTCGCAGAGGCCTTTTCCCGTTGCACGACACGCACCAGAATACCAACCCGTCGGTGTGTGCACGCAATACCTTCTGATGCATCTTCCCACCACAAGCATGGATTAGCCGTTTCTCCAGCGGCTTCTTTCCTTGGCAGAAGTCAATTAAATGAGCCAGATTAAAAATTCCCCGGATATGTTTACATGTGTCAGCTTGTCAGTTTTCCGCTCTCTCTTTTCTTTGGTTTACGCCCCGCATACCAGAAAACACAGACAAACATGTTCGATCGCAGACCTGGTATTATTTGAATTCAAATGAATTGCGTAAACATCTTAGCTAATTGCGTCAACTGCGTACGCGTCATGCTGCTGGCTAAAACTTTACGAACTGAACTATGTAATAAAATTTGACTTACAGGCATTCCTTTGCGTATTACCGCTGGCGCTTACCTTGCTTCTAACCGGCTCCTTGACTGCCTCAGTTACCGTCCTGTGATAGTTCTACGATCCGCTTCAGCCCTCTTGTCTGCCCATTCATCGTCATCCGCTTTCCACCTTTTTCTCCTAACATCTCCCACCAATCGCGTTCCCGCACATTCTTCGGCCTTCTTGCATTAGTTTTATGTTAATTTTAAACTTCACACGGCTTACTCTTGCTACTCATTCGCTCCACTTAGAGAAACACCGTCTTTATTACATTATTGGCTTTTTACGATTCGTGAGGACTTCCATGGATTTTTAGTTAGTCCCACCATAAACCATTTTTTACCACCATTCCCGCATAGGAGTTAGTCTATAGTCTGTCTCGCCAAAATAACGTTTCGCATGCACACAGCGAATAATGTCTTCGTCTTGTCAGTTGGTAGAAAAGAAGGACACCTCAATCTTTTCACACATATAACAACAGTACTCGCGAAACGCAACAAAGTTAAGCCTCTGTCGGTCATAAAAAACTGCAAGCCGTTAACAATCATAGCACACACACACCCAAAGGGAAGCAAGTAGGTCCCTGCTCGCAAAATTACGCGGAATCAGAAGAAACAGCGGAGCGAATCATTAAAATAACTCTAGATGCGACAGGATATGGCCTTTGGTTTGCCACGCCCGGTTGGTGCAGCAACACCATGTACCTCTGTTTGGTCCGCGAAACCGGAGTCGACTGAGGCCGCCTTCATGCCTACTAACCAACGGGCGGCAGCTGTCAGACTGCCTGCAAAAGGCCACTGAAAGCCTTTACTTATGCCGCAGGAAATAAACCGACAAGCTGGTTAAGCAACAATCAAACCAATAAAGCAAACAAGAGAACTCCAATGAAAGGAACGCCGGCTTTTGCGACGGATAACGGAGCAAATTAAAAGAAAATACTCTTAACACGAAGTTGACCAAATATTTCGCAATTTGGGCGCCACAAGCTCAGAACTTAGTTCGTCAGGAGCCAGCAGAACGACTGGACTGGAAACGAATGTTCGGTCAGCGGAAGCGTGTGATATGAATACAGCAGACGCTTAGTTCAATTGCAAAAAACATATAGTAATAAAAAGTCCTAGAATGGACGCCGACAATTTGGAAGGATATAAGAAGACATAACCTATGCCTTCTTTAAGACTATGCTGAAGCCTTGCCAAGGGACAGTGAATCGCCTACTATTCGCAATGCATATCGAATTGGGAAGGCTTAGTCAGTGTCTGGCCTAGGGTCCTGACTACGATCCTTTAAAATAATCATTGAGAGCGAAACGCCAGCGTGGTTGTTACTGCCAAGAAAATTGTCTGCGGGATATGCATGTCGATTTTTTCAGTTGAGTTACGTACCGAAAGAGGGAATGAAAACGAGACAACTGACAGCGGAACTGGAAGAACAGACTTCAAAATAAGATATGAACACACAATTCAAGCCAAACAAGTTCTTTTGCCAAAGGAAGTTGTACGTAGCAACCTCATTAATATAGTACTACCCATTTTCGAAGATACTGATGGCCGCTGTCCATAAATCTACTACGTTATTTGCCAGGGCTTATTAAATATGCTGAATGAGGTCAGGTTAAAAGCCTATGAACAGAAATGCTGCATATTACATTCGCATATACTTAGATTGCCGACGACATAAGGAGCAAAGAAGTCAGTATTCGACGCCATCAAATGGTCCGTTGTTCCATACTTCAAGGTAGAGGCGGGGAACGTTACACATTATTATTATTATTATTATTATTATTATCAGCATCATCATCATCATCATCATCATCATCATCATCATCATTAAATGTCCAACGAAATTTCCCACAGTTAGCGGGAACATCTGATGTAATACTTAACAATTATGAGACAGTTTCACTCAGAATTAATATGAGGCCATTGCCGACTCGTATCCTATGCGTTGTCTGGCGGACTTACAGCCCGAATGAAGGCCTGATGTGGAGTTACTCAGTTCACCAAGATAGATCAGCAAGCAGGAGTACGAATTAATCATTGATGAATTTAACACCTGCAGAACAGACTGCAAAACTTCCCCAGTAAACGTCGCAACAAAATTTGACACCTTAAACTATTGCCCCAGATTCTTCCTCGTTTTTATCACCGTTAAGGCCTGTCTATGAGGACGGATTCGAGTGAGAAACCAAAACATCAGGCGAGTAAAATTCGTGTCCCAACTATCGCATCTTCATCATAAAAATAGCTTATCCCAATCGTTTATCGATACCTTTCGCATGCGTCAATCTCTCCCTCGTTATGTTTCCCCCCTGCTTATTAAAATTCTTCTTGTTCTTTAATGACGTTCTCCAGCGACCACCGCTTGATTGTGAGTTATACTGGGTTATTGCGGTTTCCCTCTGTGCCTACCTCGCTCCCTGTTTTTTGCTGAGTGTCGTCTACCGTTTGGTTTGTGCTTCGACCCTTGCGTGTATTCAAGTGCCACTGACTTTGAGTTTTGAAAAAAGTAAACGAAGGTCCCTACTTCCACAGTACCGAGCGGTACTAAATTACAGAGGGTCTTCGAAGAGAACACACCGGAGTAGTATATTTCCATCGCATTTCGGTTTTCAGATGCATGTTTTTGCGAGCCGTTTCGCGAGTTTTATGTCCACAGTTGAACTCGCCTTGCGTAGTGAAGTAAAAAAAATACCTGGTCCGTTTTTGTTCTTGTGTTTGTCAGTAGCTGCGTTTTTATGCATTAGCGCCTTTTGAAGCGGCCTGACCAAATTTTCTCCTCAAACATGGCTACGCCGGGTTGGGAGTACGCTGGAGTCCGTCTTTCTATTGACAATTACATTATTCCCGAAGATAAACTGTCCCCGACACCATCAGCATCAGATGGAATCGATGCGGAGACAGAGGGAGATTTGCGGTTCCTTGGCTGTGAGCTAATACAGGATTCCGGATATTTACTAAAATTGCCTCAAATGGCGATGGCAACTGCGCAAGTACTTTATCAAAGGTTTTTCTACTCGAAGTCATTTGCGAGGCACTTCTATGAGGTAATTTTTTACCCTTTCCATATTCTGTACTTAGCATTATTCAATGGCTTCTATCTTTTTGGCCGCCAAGATTGAAGAGTGCCCAAGGCGGATTCGCGATGTGATTAACGTATTTCATCACATACGTCAAGCCCGTGAAGGCCGGTTCGTCTTCTGATCCGACTTATAGGGTTTAGGCCCTTCACCCCTGTCCTTCTAGATCAAAGTTACATCAATCTTAAGAATCAGGTTATTAAAGCTGAGCGTCGCATACTGAAGGAACTTGGATTTTGTGTTCACGGCAAACATCCACACAAGGTTTGTTTCGGCTACTCTTGTATGACGTTTTAGCTTGTCATATGTTACCTTCAAACCCTTGGTCTTGAAAAATCGGAATTAGCCCAGATTTCTTGGTGAGTAAGCATTCGGCATCTTAGTAAGTCATCTGCTCTCTTACTCAGACTCGGTTAACTCCCAACTATTTGTCATTATTTAATTCCAATTTATTTTTGTGCTTGGTTTCTACTGATGAAGCGCAGTCATGTGCAAGGCGGACTCGCCAGTTTTGCCTGATTTGTGCACGATTTGTTCTTGAGTACGTGATGGCAGACGGTGTACGCGAAAACGAATCTTGGAAAGATGTCGAGTCGAGTTAGAATTAAAACATTTAACCTTGGTGTTGCAGATATGGTCTCCTTTGCGACTCACTCCCAAGGCCGCATTCTAGGCAGTTGGTGCCGGTCCCCTGTTACAGATGTTTGAACCTATAACCTTGTCTGCTTCCTTTAAAGTCGGTAACTTTTGGGGCTGCGTTGCCCGCCATGCCTACCGTACCACCGCGACGCAAGGCTTTCTGTGCTGCATGCGTTTAAGTACCGTAGACAATGTAGCAGTCCGTTTTATGTCACTTGATAACGTTACTTTTCTGCATCAGGATGTTTAGTAGTTATTTGTTACATGTCGATGCTTAAAATGCCGCCACCTTGCTGTTGCACTCTCTTGGTGTTAGCCGGTGCCTGGTCTACAAAAGCCGTTATCTCTAGTGTTGGTTCGCCCTTCTGTTGTCGTTTACCCTTTCCAATACCGTACTTTGAGTGGGGTTGTCTTTCCTCTTCCACACATTAGGAACTACATGAATGATGTCCTGCGAACGGACGTCTTCGTCCGCTACTTCCCGGAGGCTGTCGCCTGTGCCTGTATCTTCTTGGCCGCCAGGAAGTTGGGAATTCCCCTTCCACGTTATCCTCCATGGTGGGAAATGTTTAATGTTGATGAAGAATCTGTGCATGAAATCGCTTTATGTCTCCAACGTTTATATGTTAGGTCGAAACCTGATGTTAGTGCCTTAGAACTGCGCCTCGCCGAAATTCGCAAAAAACAAGCTGAGGCTAGAGAAGTCGCCCTTGCGAGTTCGGCAGCGTCCAGGTCACTGAATAGTCGGCCTCTAGACGATGCTAGCTCAGGAAATCCGTCGCCGTCAAAAGCGCCAGTTGATAACTCTAAACCAGATGGTCCTCCCCAGACGGCAACTGTCTCACCCACGTCAACTACAAAAACAGACCCTTCCCTTAACCCCGGTACTCTTGCTGCCCAGTTGTCAGATCTAAAAGGATCCAGGAGTCGACGATCTCCGGAAGAAAACCGAAAACCAACGATGGATATCAACTCGCTAAACGGCGAGGTGCAGGCGGGTCTCAAGGAAGATCTAGATGAAATCAAGTGAGATGCCCTTATGTGTCTGTTTCCCTATTTACTTTTGTTAGCTGAAGCTGTTGTACTTGCTCAACCGTTCGCAAACATGTTTGCCACTATTGTCTACGTTCTTCTCAGTTTTCGATTCTGCGTCTTAGTAAGTAACAATCTGTCAGGAGATTCGTGCGTTTGATACTGTGACCTTTCTTGAGTCTATTCTTTGCCCAGCTGAACGTCTTGCGGGTTCTTATTAACCTTCTGTTCCAAGTGAACTTAAGGGCTTTTAACTGTTCTTTTACGTAGCAAGTACTCCCTTATGCAGCCACGTAGGATTAGGACATCATTCTTTCTCAGTTAGATGCTGCAATAAAAAAGAGCCATAGCTATTTGCACTCCACCTTACATGACTTCCGTTGCCTTTTCAGCCGCCAGAAGTCGGAGAAGCGCCGACCTAGTGCATATAGCGAAGTTGATCCCAAAAGCAGGAAAAGGAAAACTCGCTACCGGTCTCGGAGTCCAGTGTCAAGGAAAGATCAACTGCGGTCTCATCGGCGACGGCATTCTTCGAGCACGAATTCAGACGAGAGTTATGACTCGAGGTCGCCGCCCCAGCGTGTTCATTACTCGCGCATTCAAGAGAAAGGATCACGCTACAGTGGATATGACTACCGAAAGAAGTCACCTGCCTCAAGTGACAAATATAAATCGTATAAGAAACACAAAAGCAACAGACACCGCTCACACTCGGATTCTAGCCTATCAACAACGCCTAGCCCATCCGAGCGGTCATCTCGTCTGCCCCGAAATAAATCCCCACCATCGAGATCGACTGCTACTTATCGTGCCGACTACGATAAGGTTTCTTCCGACTTAGATCTTGCAAATCGTTCTAAGTCATCTAAAGCTGTGAACGGCGTCTCTGGGCAAACCACAAAGTCCAGTAAACAAAGCTACGTAAGTAGCTCACGCAGTCGTGCCCGACAGTAGGACCAGTCTGCCGTGTCGGTTCTACTTTTTGTCAGAGGACACCTGAATAACATTCGTCCCCAGTACGCTTCACCCTCAATACGTTTGCGCAAATCAAATGAGGGTGTTTCGCTTTGTACAGTACCCTTATTTTCTAAGAGCCTTATTATACCGAAGTAAATGTTTTCTTACTTTAATTGCGTAATTCGAAGCTGGTCCTACATCTTATCTGTATCGATCGTCGTTGGAAGAAACCGTCCGAGCCTCTGTTGATACTGTGCGCTCGAGTAGCTTTTCTGCATGGTTTGCCGTGTGTTTCTCGAATTAATAAGTTGCAAAAATCTTCCGACTGTTAATAAGGACAGGGGCCCGCCCGTACGTGTGCCTGTTCCCTTCCGACTGATAAAATCATCCGTATTTGCGCCTCACACCTTGCGATGATTATCTTATCTTGGTTGTGGCGTATAGCATTCTAAAAATCGGCAATTCATGCTGTCCTCGATTTGCTATTTTCTCATATAGGTACTGCGTTTGCCTCTCAGCCTATGCCTGTCAGTGATAAATTTGGGCCACGATACTTGGAGAATTTAAGTTCCTCCCGAACTTCTTGGTTCTATGCTATAAGCCGACGCGTCTTATAAGTAATTATTCTGCTGTTGTACAGAGATATCGAATGGCTCGCCTTGCCCACAGGTGACGCATGGATTTCTGCTCACCGTCATATAGTGCCTAACGGAGCTTACACCGGATTGTCTTCAGCCTCACATCTTGTCGATGGTTTCGTAAAATCACTGCGAAAAGAGAACAAAGTAAGTTTTTTGGTGAAATTGCTAATCGTCCTCTTTTTTGCTTAACTCTTTTTGGGAATGCTAAGTTGGTGCTTCAGTACATTTAACAGCTCTCTGCGTAGTTAGGCACCTGTAATCATTTTGCCATATTAACTGTCTGTCGGAGGATACCGACTATTTACTCCCCGAACACTCTAGTAGGATGTCTTCATCCACTCACATCCGACTTTCGGACGAGCTGTTAATCAACAACCACATACTGTTTGTGGTGTCCTTTCTATCGCCCAGGAACATTTCCCACCATCAGCTTATATAGCCTGCATACGCTTGACAGACATTGCTGGAGTCACTCAGGGGTCCCGTAATGTCCTTTGCATCTATTCGGTGTAAGAAAACAACCGAATCTTTCATAACTTCTGTTGTATTTCTGTCTTGTTTACTTCCACTTTAAGATTCTGTTGACTTCACCGTAACACATCCTGGTACTGCCTTTTAAGCCTATGAGGATTTCAAGCTTTAATGTTGGATGCCAAACTGTCGAGTCGTTCGTTTGCGCTGCCAATACACAAGCACTCTTGTTGCCTTTCAATTTCTGTAGTTTATCGGATCTGCTAGCGTTTTCCTGGACAATTGTCTGTCTTGCCTTGAGCAGGTGTGACTTCACTTAATGTAGAATGTCACCGAATCTTACGCTTGTCTAAAGTCCGTGGTCATTTTATTGTCTGAACCCATTCCAACTAAGCTGTTTTCAAGGAAATACTTAAAATGGCTTCTCATTTTTAACTGTTTTACAATGACGGTGTCTGGGACGGCGACCGTGCCACCGTCCTGGAGGCATACGGGTCTTACCTGTCGCACTCAACAGAACGGATCCTGTGCTAGCATCCTATTATACGCTTGACCCCTTCACAGATTGTTGGAAATTCTTAGGATTCTTGGCGTTGGTCCGTCAATCTCTGACAGTTCTGGAGGGGTTTGTAGATTCAGATTCGGTCGTACATTCGTATCGTTAGTAGTGCCTATTCTTACCTTCTTTTAGACGCCGTGTGTGTTGGGAGACAGCCACAAAACACTTAGTAAGGTGTGGTTTGTCAGAAAGTCGTGAAGGTTCTGCTAGTAAGTTTCAGGTTGGGTTTTAGGGCGGCCAAAAGAGGTGCGGTACTACGAGATCATAAATTTGTCATGGGTGTGTTCAGTTATTCGGAAGTATTGCGAACTTAACCAACATCCTGTCTTTGGAACTCGTGCACGTCTTTTCGATTCGTGTTCAGTTGCTAGGATCCTAGCCCTTCACGGCAGTTCTCAATATTTCTCTCCTGACTCGTCTAGCTCTCGATGTGTCACAACAAGGGGGTGGTGAAGACGGGATGTAGGATGCTTGATTACTTCGTACGTAGATGGTTTCTGTGCTGATTTTGAAGACGTGCTTCGCTATTTCCAAGTTGATTTCCGGTAATAAGCCTTTATCGTATTAACCTTTTCTCAATTAGCCATCTGCTGCCCGGCTGCTGAGAGGGCAGCGACTAAGCATTTCGAGAAATGGGGTCCTTCGGACTGCCTTGGGGCAAAGAGTGATTCTCAAAAGCGGTCAGCACCATCTTTGCCTTTCGTGTGTTCGACCGAATCGTTGTAAGATTTTGATGCATTTCTATCCTATGCTCTTTCTACTTCCCTTCCTATGCCATTATGGGCTTTGAATAAACTTGTTTTTGCCGCAGAGTTCTCTTTTTCATAATTCAGACTTTTCCGTCTGTCGGTTCTAGATGTAGTGGAACTCAGCATACCGTGCAGCTTCGTATGCTGATTGCGTTTATTCTTGATTCATCTAGGACTTAGTCCATTAATCCCCGGTTATGCAGTATTACTAGGTCTAATTTAGTTGAGGTACGTGTCGACATAACAGTATTGACTTAACAATAATCTAAACTAAAGACCTTGATTTTCTAGTGCACACCAGGTTGCAACTAACCTTCTTCAGTAGCTTGAAATTGTTAAAACCCTAACTTAGAATGCCGTAGCCGTAGATACCCCGCGCGTCATTATCATATTGCACAAAGTTATGAAATCTGCCCATTTTCTTAGGCTGTCCTAAGATTGTGTCATAGGTATCCCTATTTATCCTTTTTGAGTATGGTTCATACGTCTTGCTGAGTCAAAAAGGGAGTTTTACGACTGATGCTGTTTAACGTTGCCCGACTGTCGCGCATTCATGTCCGTGCCCGTCTAACCACTTTAATTCGCCCAGTGTTCACACTTAGATGTGTAGTATCTGATGCGTGTCTTTGCAAGAACTTCGTGACCGTTGGCCATGCATATACCTCTTAAAGCTTGTGTTCACATATTTTTCACCAAACCAGGTTTACCACTTCCTGTTCGTCAACAGTATTGCTTTATCTTCGGATCAGGGGGTGGATGTTTGCTGCCAAGGCTGTAGTTTTCGACTTAGTCTGGTTTGGTGCCAATACTGATAGTGGGATTGTATCGACGTGTGGTTACTGTCCATTTGCAAGTTTTGGGACACCGGCAGTGTCGCTTTTGGTCCAAACTATTCGTTGACTAGGATTCCGATTACTCGCCCATTCGGCACTACCTACCATAGCTTTGGTCATGCCTAACCTGGGCAGCCTTAGTCTTTGTGAAGCGTCTTTTGGTCAGCTTGGCACGGGCGGTTCCACGACAGCTGCCCAGATTGTTGCTACGAGGTCGTGTCCGCAAAGCACTACGTCGGCAGACTAGCCTTTAAGAGGTCAGTGCACTAGACTCCGGCCCTTGGCGTTCCTGGCATCATTGCTGTTGACTGTCCGCCCCCGTTTATACACGAGACGTGAGCGTCTGCTTAGGTTGTAATGCGTCTTCGCCGAATAGAGTTCCACTTCTCACTCTTGGAAGCACCGGATGTCTAATTTCAAGGCCGCACGTGTAGACCCATCCCAACTTTGTCGTAGCCGGGCCTATCCTTCGCTGATTAACTTTAACCTCGGTTGGGTCCGGACGGTGGTTTCTGGCTTTCATTCGTTCGGATTTCCCACTGAAGCCACTGTCCAGTGCTTCTCACCCAAGACGGACGTAGACCTGCTATCGTAATTTTGTTGGAGACCGCATAACCCACTTCATTGGAATAAAGACTACGTGGGCAGGTTATAACTAACTAAACTGCGCTTGCCTTTTGTTAAGTTCTCCACGTCTTCAGTAGCACCCGAAATAACTGAATCACAGTCCCCTTTGTCTCAAGAGCTTCATAGCGGTAATCAGCTTGATCGGGAACGGAATCTTGGTATTAGATGCTGGGATGTGTGTACCTTCCTGGACCCTGGTACGCGAAGGCTGACGGCGCGCAGTCTATTAACACGATGTGGATGCTTGCTGTCTGTCTGAAGTTCGAATCCTCCACTCGGGCGTTCGAGAAATAAGGTTTTCGGGGGCCAACTCCCACTTCGCCACGTATCACAGCAGCCCACGCGATGCCTCAGGTAGATTAGGTATGGCGATCGCCCTCAGATCGAGCGGTGCACATCCTGCATGGGGACCAGTAGTCGATGGCTTGCGTGAGACCGAAGGGTAAATCTACGAACACTGTCGCGTTCAAGTACGCACCAACAGCCGGACAAAGCAATAAAGAGACTCACTCGTACGCACACACCGGAGAGTTCACCTTTCATCTGCACCTAAGGTGCCAAGGCGAGACCCTTTGGTGGCGCAAAACCGACAACCCCGCACTGCCGAAGCTCAGAGCACAGAAGTTCGGTCCCGTTTTACGGCCCAAGACGGCGGAGAAGGCAGTGGCGAATGGTCACTGAAATAATCAATCTGCTGCTTACGATAGAATTGCATTCGCCCATCGTCGCCGCTGTGGCCGGGGCAGAGGTAAAACCCCACAGTTGCCTACCCAGATGGCTAGGGCCAGGTCCCATAACGACTTCCACCCGCCAACGCCAAAAGATTACGGCAATTTTGGGCTGAAATAGCTACCCTCCATGGGGCAGACCTCAAACTAGGTGGCACTCGAAGTCTGCATGTTAGTGGTTAGCCCTGGACACAGTCACTGTTCGCGATGTGGATGGCTGCTTTATTGCTGACAACTCGGTCATGGTCGAGCGGCGGCGGGAGCACTTAACACCTCGACCCTGATTATCAACCCATCTCACCCCTCAGTGGTGTACTTCTCTCCATTTCTGGCGCATGCAATACCCTCCGACTCCCCTCCTGGGGGAGAAGATACGAATGCAACAGACTACACAGCAACAAGGCATTTGAAGGGGATGGTAGTCCTGTTGAAATCTGCAAATCTTGTGTCAGTGCTGGCGCCCTAGCTAAAAGGGGTGATTGAGCAAGCGTCAGAAGAAGTTCCTGACGACCGGGGGTAGGGCATCCTTTGGCCTGTCTACAAGGAAAGATGAGATAAAATGCAAGAAATATCGCGGCTTAGGTCTCATTGACGTTGGTGTGGGGGTCTTCGCTGTTGTCCTTTTCCAGGCGATTCCTGATACCGAGGTGGGCATGAATGCGCGGACCAGATACACTGAGGTGTATTGTGAGATTTTGTCGTGGAAGTCCGCTTTGTGGATTCTGCCGCTGCGCTTGAATCCGTTCATCATGGGGCCCTGTGGTCAATTATGGAACCAGATGGTGTGCCGGCCTTGTTATCTCCACGTTTTGGTGATCTACAGGATGCGGTGTCACGGGTAAATGGAGTCGCTAAATGTGTTGTTTTGTCGTTAAACGCTGAAAATGGAAATTGTTTCGGGGCCGGATCTCTGTTCAGAAGGCACTCCTCGGTATTACTGGCTATCGACTTGGAGAAGTATGCAGTTTCTAATACCTCGGTGCGAAACTGCTGCCCAATGGACAGAGTGAGGACGGCATCTTCCGAGTCGATGTCGCCTGCAGATTTTTGTAATTTCTGGAAAATGCACTTGCTCAGTCAGTCCTTCGGTTGCGAGTGCTGGGCTGCGTGGAAGGCGAGCTAAAATTGGAGGTATTTGACAACCGCTGTCTGATGACCGTCCGTCGGGTAATGTACATTAACTTCGTCTAAAGTAGGACAGTCTGCACTCGCTGCGGCATCGCAAGGATACCTCAGGCCATTAAAGAAAGGACAACTGTGGTGATTTGGGCGCGCTCTTTACAGTCCACCTCACGAGCTCAGTATTACTGCCCATGATCCGGTGCCGTTGCCCTCTTGGAGACGTCAAATAAGAGGTCAATTCCGCACCTGTCTCTACATGTTTCGTCAAGTCTTGAAGTGGTTCTCGAACCTTCGGTCTTCGTCGCTGGAGAAGAGAATGGGTCAAGATGTTCAAATCCGCTGCCCTCAATCGGCTTGTGGAGAACTACAATGCATGACATCATCGAGGCCGACTAAAAGTAGCCATAGTCGTAGGCACAATCAGGTACAAGTTCACTGTGACTGTCTTTGGCCAAGACCTTCCAATGTTACTCGACCTGAAGCCAGAAATAGTTTTTCTTTGCGAAGCCAGACCGTCTAGAAATGCGCATTCTGACCTTTATTGTCAGCTTTTCCGATCACCGACTTCTAGAACAATGCCACGGTAGAAAGAAATGGCCATATTCTGCCTTGAATTAGGCCGAGTTAGTGAACACCAAAACCTTTTGTCAGCATCACCTCGCTCTGTATGTGTTTTTGCCCACGCTTGTCTTCATGTTAATCCCACCGGATATCGTGTAATACTTTGCGGTGATAAGACGGTTGTATCTTACTGTGGCTCGCCTGTGCGTAGCTGTTCATGGAAAGTTCGTTATCGCAAATCGACGTAAATCATATCCTGCAAAATGTGCCACTAGTGTTGCTTACTCTTCGTAAGCTCTTTACTCTTCGTTTTCCTGGCATTGCACCCTTGACGTCATTGGCGTTGTGCCAATTTCGTATTTCCGCCGGCTCGTCTGCTGCATCGGATGACATTTTCGGTGCATCTTTGTTCCGTCCATGAGTACAAGCAGTCGTATAAGTACTTATTTCTGCACCGCGCATATCGGGTTTGCTTCTTGCTTAGATTCGGAGGCAGCAATGCCCGACAGTGATCGCAGACCGATAAAGTTGAGATGCAAGAAGATCATCCGAAATACTGTTAGAAAGTACTGGAATGTTACTTTGCAGATCGTGGCCGCCATGTCGAAAGTCGGACTGTCCTGACAGCAGCCAATGGCGGCGTCGCAGAGTGGTTACCGGGATGCGTGCGGCTGTGAACTGCCCTCTGTGATGTTGCGTTCATTGTGCGTCATTATGTTCTCGTTTCGCGCCTTCAAGGATCGAGGGGATCCAAAGTGGTTTCACTACTTTACTGTCCACTTGTAATGACAATGAACTGATTATGAGTGTATGAGCGCTTCTGCGCTGTAAGGTCTTCCGAAACCGTTAGCACACCTGCAAGATCTTAAGGGACCTATCCGACAAATGGGAGCAGGATTTCGAGCTTCATGTGGTGTTCTATCCATGGTTCGGTTTCCCGTCGGTTCGCCAGGCACAGACCGGGTCGATCCGCGAAAAGAGACTTCGCGAATGGGGCGTCGGCAAACTTCTGAAGATGCAAGACAGCTTAGCGGTCTATGATGGTGAAGCTGTTCAAGACCCGATAGTCACCGCAGGGATGCTCGTCAGCAGTAGTTGTTTTGAGAACCATGTTAATAGGACGAGGCTCAAGGGCTTTCAGTTTTGCTGGTGATACGTATCTGGATCACGTGCTCGACCTCGGCCTTGGCGGCAGACAGCTTTGCAGGCGCTAGACGGCGGGGCCGAAAAAAACATGAGGGCCAGTGGTACAAATATGGTGGACAACGCCACACGGTGGAGTCGAGACGCTGAAGTTAGGATGGGTAGGGCCGGAGTATTTGGCGAGGAGCTGCCGAAGTGGATTATCTGGGTCAGGGTCCAGAACGGCAAACTGACGGGATACCGCAGATCAAGGGATAATACGTACGACAAGATTAGGGATCTGGCCGCGTAGGGGGGACTAATGATAGTCTACCAAGAGATCGAATGCGGCGAGGAAGTCTGCACCAAGTATACCACAAGGCGCATCAGCGATGAAAAACACCTCAGGGAAGAGACACCTGGGACCGACGTCCAGGGAAGAAAGCAGGTGACGATGGTAGCGTTTAGGTACATGTTGACGGCCTGAGGGAAGAGGCAGGGGTCGGGTCGCCGATGGTCGGCTGATGTTAGGGGAACGATACCCAAATGAGCACCACTGTTGGGCAGAAACCATCTGTTACGCCGGTTGTCGTAGACGTAGAGGGGTCGATCAGGGTTAGAGCTGCCACAGAGATTGGTCACACTGGCCTTCGGGCCGACCCGTCTCACCTGTTTGTTCTGAGAATAAGAAGCAGGAAAAGACGCAGCGACGGGCTTGGGCAGCAATGGCCTTATGATACCACCAGGTGGCGACTGCCTTGCGACAAGATGGTACAGTCTGTTCGTGCCGGGCAAATGGTCACAGGGGGCTCTTAAATAGGGGAAAGGCTCTGTTTTTATGAAAAGCTATAGCATAGGCAAGCCTCACAATCTCACATTTCATGTGGGCGAGGGGACATGCAGGGGAAATTGAGGAAGTTAAAAGAGCAGCGAGTGGCAACTGGCGAAGCCGTGCATCTCCATAAGCCGTTCGGTCATAAACGTAAGTTGGACGACCGAATGCGTGCTAGAAGCAGATCAAAAAATACGCTGAACTCCGGATGGGATGTTGCCATTTTCAACGCCTGACTGTATCGCGGATTTGAGAGGAATTTTTACCATCTGTTAGGAGTAACCAGTAGCCGAAATGAAAGGCACACGCGAGAGTTCCCAAATCAGGTGGCAGGGGAGACAATTGGATAATCTCTTACTGCGGCCAAGAGTGTGCACGCAGCGCCGCAAGCAGTTGCAACCGGCGTTCTCACCAGGCAAGTGTCGACCGAGGTGTATGTACCCAAATTCCCTCCGGCTGCAGTTAGTTGTTCAAGTGAGGAAAATCCATCGGCGTCACGGTATCGCAAGCCAGGGCTTGGGCCACGCGCGTACGCAGTTCTTGTCACGCGTTAGGCGAACGGGAGGCGGCGTGGGTAAGCGACGGTGCTGACGAGTGAGCAGCCACACATTCATATGGAATGTGGTCGACTCCCTGGTTAGATCGCATAGATGCTTGACTTAAGACTGTTGAACAGATCAGTTATTTTAATTCAGTTCGGAGCGTAACCCGGACGCGCGACTTACCGATGCGGACCAAAGTTCGCCCGCCCAGTGGCTACGCGAGTGCTCATAATGTATGAAAACAACATAATGTCCAAAAAACAGTTGCTGCCTGCTTGTTCTGGAGTTTGGAATCAGAGGGTCTAGTCCATAGAGTCCGGTGTGACAGTTGCGAAAAACACCAATCGCGTGTCCTACGGGGTTGGTGTAGCACTGGTGACTTAAACGCGAATTAGTTTATAATGGGGCAGACTTTCGCAGCATCTCCTGCCCACCAGGCCCCAAGGACAAAAAATGTCAGGACGACTGAGGATAGTTTCGGGTGCAGTGGCTGACAAGGTTTGACGGCCTACCTACGCACAACGCGCTCAACTTACAAGATGCACCAGGTTTCCACAAGAACAAGGGACGATGAGCTTAAAGCGACGGCTTGGCCAGTTATTATTGGATCAAAGTCAATAGAACCATTTGATACAAATGTTCTGGTAAGCCCTCTATGAGAGTAAATGTATCCCCATACCATGTCAATCCAAGACTCGATTGTCGCAGAGACAAATGCTTCATGCTTTATTTAATCCTTGAGTACATGACCGTGTGGGGTTCCAGCAGGATGTGCATCTCCACATTATGCCCATGTCATGCATCCTACTTCATTGATGTTTTCGACGGTTGAGGATGGCCCGTGGATTGCAGTGTATATGGAGGGAATGTGCTCAGAGCGCTACAATTATCAGACGAAGTTCCAAATAACAGGAGAAGACACAACGTACCAGATGGGAGAATTTATTGTGCACAGGACTCCGAGTTAATCTCCCAGGCGCCAGTGGCCGCTGATGAAGCCGCGGCCAGTGTTGATTGACAAGTGGTGGCATCTGCTTTTGTAGTTTTGCGGCGCAATATATAGTGCCGTATGTTACATTAGCCGAAGGGTTGGCGTGTTTAGAGTTATGTTGCATTTGTCAAATGGAGGCGTGTTCAAGTTACGCACGAGCGGTCGTGACTATATGCACGCACGTGTGTCTAATCTAAAGTCAATCAGACCGTGCGATCAGCGCATCCTGTGTACGAGGTGTCCGACCAACTGGCCTCTAACAGCCTGGTCGTTTTTCTCCAACTGTGCTGTTTGTTTTCACGCACCCGAAAAGCGCTGAAGGAGACACGCGCATCACACGTGTGCTTGGAGATCAGGTCGCTGTATTTTTATTCACCTAATGGCTCTACTTTTTGCCGTTTGTAACTGGTGGGGTCTCACAACACGTAGGCCGCTGGTCGTAGGTGTAACGTTGCCAACACCGGAACCGCTTGCTGGGCTGGGGACTGGCATTGTTGCGGGGTTGCATGGGACACAAAGGCGCCAGGCATCACAATGCTGACTTTCTCAGGATGATCATCTAAGTTTCCTGGTCTGCCTCTACCTCCTTTGGGGCAGTCACCTGAAATGCGGAATTTACAGGGATATGTCCAACAACGTGGATGATTTGGAACAATACATCCTCCGTGAATACAGTCAAATTGCTATAGACGCCTCGCACCGCGTTCTTTTTTCTTTCATCAAGGAAGTAGTAGTTCTTAAACAAAACCGTGGACTATTTCGAGCATCTGTTGGTGCAAACTCTCGATGAGTACTTTACGGTGCTAATCTCATGACGATTGGTTTACAGAGATACGTTGGACCTTAAGTAGAACCTGTATGATGCTATCACAAAGATTGCAATCATCTGCGCACGAGTTGCTCCAGTAACCGAAATTCTGCCTTGTGCTTGGGTTACCTTCCGAGTTAAACTTGCTAGTGCTGCACCGAACATCGAATCGCAGGCCTCCACACGTCGGGTCAGGCGTGTTACCCATCACATGTGTACCTCACGATTTCACGGTATTTATCATCTAAAATTTAGTAGATCGCTTATTCTACCGGCCACCATTCCTCCTTTTTTTTACTAACGACGTTCGACCAACTAGCACGTGACTTCTCACCTATTGCCAACGAAGAGAGGATACATAAGCAGCTCACCAGGAGTGTGACAGGCCAGATGCAGACAGCTGTTTCACGGTCGTTATCGATCATCAGTACGTCATAGGCCATATGAAATGAGGTATATAAACATGCCAAATAAGTGTTTGACCCTCGCTGTCGTGGTTAGGATCTCACTCGATCCCATTCTGTCCTCCCGCCAGCTTGCTACTGACGACAGCGAACGTTTCGTCGTGTCTGTGACGTACTTATAATCGGTAAAGACCGTGAAACAGCTGTCTGCGTCTGGCCTGTTGCACTCTTAGCGAGCTGCCTATGTATTATTTGTGGTATGTGTCTTCTGACACATAGCGTTCGTTGTCGTCAGTAACAAGCTGGCGGACGGACAAAATGGGATCGAGTGAGATTCTAAGCACAGCAGTGAAGTTAACACGCCCAATTGACAAGGCAAAACAATTGTTTTGAACCAAAGCCATGGTTATTTGCATCTTATCCCACTGCTACTATCGCCTGTGTGATGTACGTCTCCATTTCCACCAGCTGTGCAATCGCTACTGCAACGCAAAGTATGCAGAATGCATAGGCTTGGTGGCAAATACTGCCCATGTTGCAACGACGCCCTACCCCATTTTGACCGAGGTGAATAACCTGGTTTGTGGACAAGCATTATTCAGTAAGTCTAAATTGCAGGCACGCATCTGCACACGTGTCCCTTGATACGTGCACTGAGTCGTGTCTCGGAGACTTGCTGCAATACTAAGATCAGCTGTGGCCTTCTCAATGTGCGCGCCTCTCAAAGACACGGAAAAATTGATTTTGTAAGAATCATGCGTTGGGTAGCAACCACCTCGATCTTGCCTGTTTTTGGAGAGTTTTGGGGGGGGGGGCGGACTGGCACTAGTTAATCTCCCACGCTCATCGCATAGGCCTGATTCACATGCTCAGTCTATTTTCCTGTACGGAAGCAGATCTAACTTCTATAAGGCGACCTAGTCATCATGTAAATCCGACTCGCACTTTTTAGAACAGCCGTTCTATGTTGCTGTTGCAAAGAGCGATCGCAAAGAAGATGGAAAGGAGTAGCACATTGAGAGCACTGTGAAATTGTCGCCCAAAGCTTCCCGAATCCATCGGGACTGCGAATGGGCCTGCGTGGGGCCGACAGGCATGGTGGTCTGTTGTCAAATTTAAAGCTGCACTTTGAATCAAAAAGGTGGGAGAGCAACAATGAACGGGACACGAGTGAAAGGCTCATTGTTACATAAATCCGACTTCTACTATGGATGCACGCTCGCCTCATGAATTCGCCATATTTGACACCGTTTCTTTCACCCAACAAGCAACAATCTTTATACGTCACAGGAGGATGCCACAGCCATGACAACATAATCCCAACTGGTCACTTTGTCATTGCTCCTTCCGGACCTGGATTCCTCAGTTTGTTACTCGACGAAACTGCAAGCATTCCCTGGGCTCATCCGCATTGGCTCGAGCACGTTGGCAGGTCACGGGAGTGACTGCTGACCTCGTGCCAGTCGGCGACTTCATCTTATAGAAACGAACAGGCGAGTTCCAGGTAGCAGTTCAGAAGACGAAGAGGAAGAAAACAGCCAGCTGGCCTTCCTGGATGTTCTCGTCTGCCGCAAAGATTGTGGTGGCCTAAAAATCAGTGTTCAGGAAAGCGACAAATACGACACAAATACCGAACTTCAACAGTAACCACCCGATCAGTCACAAACGCAGTTGTGTAAGGGCGCTATACCAGGGCACTGAGACGCACTGTGGTGAAATGGAAGACAAGGTTGTTGAATTACAATATCTTCGACGGGTACTGAGAGCCAATGGCTACCCGCGCAACTTTGTCAACCAGTGCATACGAAAACCGCCCACTACTAGCGACGAAACGGGGCTTACTCTGACACCTTTGTGCTATCTTGCAGTAAAATGGTACCACGGTGGTCGGGGAGGTCTGTTCAAGTATACCCATTGACAATAGATCCAGTTTTGTTTAACAGCAGGAACCAAAAAGAGCGATGATAGCTGGAAAATGTTTTCCGCACACCGGGAAGTCTGCCGTGAGTAAACAATTAACTAGTGAGTCAGACCAGGAGATGTCGGTCAGGAAGTGTGGTATTGACTTTGTGTCGTATGTACGTGTCTAATATGTCTGTCGGAAAGATGAGGAGAGTTCATTGGGCGGGGCTTATTCTTGTTCTGACGTTTTTAGTAAAGATTTCAATTATTGACTTCCAGAGACTGGGGATTCGCGTGCACAGATCTCATTATAGGGCGTACTTTGCTTGATGCATGTGTCGCCAATTCCGAGTTGTCGGCCATCAGCCAATCAACTTCAATGCGTAATCAGATGTGCTCTCACCTAAGGCGTCGTTCTAAGCCGCCCAACCGCGCTAAGTGTCGAAACCCTCTTATGGACCCCCAATAAGAACACAAGATAGCGGCCTAAGGGGAAGATTAGGGATTATTTAGGACGACGGGTTGGATTTCAGACAGGATACGGAGCACGTGGAGGTCCCTTGCCTGGGACTGGTTGACCTAGAGACGGTCCCTGATTGATCCGGTAAGCGAGAACGGCGACGACGTGTGGATACATGGGAGAGGCGCTCTCCGATCCAAGGTGCCCGGACATTCGTTGTCCTCAGTCCTTATAAGGCCTCCAGGCGATGCGGATAGGTTTAATGAATAAACCAATATGCAAGATTGAGCATGACAACGAGAGGTAGGATAACGCAGGGGATTAGCCACTAGGATGATCGAGGCCGCAAACTGTCATATATATTGCAGTCTTGCAATGACCACTAAGATTAAAGTTGGAAGGCTGCTAGCATGGCGCCGAGTTGCATGCTTCATAAACAACACTGATAAACGGACAGATACAATGCTGTGTGAACAGACATTTCGCGGTGTTACAAATCCCATAATTGGAAACTTTTCATAACCGAAAGATACGTTCTCCGATGTAGTACCTTTGACAGTCAAAGCGTACTAGCTTAGTCTTAAATGCATGTGCAGTTGAAGCGCGGTGAGAATGTTTGTTTCTTTACCGCAAATCTGACTAATGCTCTATGTCCAACTGGGTGAATGGGAAGGGCATTACAAGCGATAGTCGTTCTAGTGACGTGGAAGTCCGAGCATGGGGATTTCGATGTTTACCTCAATATTTGTTGCGAGTACTATCTTAGGCTACGTGAGTTTCTATTTCAAGTATAGCTTGATTACGAACGAACTTAAGAAGGGCCATTCCGTACGTTACATAGAGATGGCGTTCAAGCTCAGGGAATGTGCTGGACTAGGCCCATAGAAATCCAAGGGTTCTTTTCACTCACTCACTATGCTCACCAAATTGCGGTCAATGCATGCTGTTTCTAACAAACTATCTTTGCTTTTGTTTTTGCATACGTAGTATATAATCTAAAGATGGCGGTCCGACTAAGTCTGTTAGTTATGACTTTATGGGCAGTCTTACCTGTTAGCAAAGATCTGCGACGTCGCCAGTGCGGACCTCATTTGTATGTCTTCCTCGCACTGTAAAGTAAAACCAGTTTTTCCAGCATGTGCATTACTTTCTGTGCCAACACTGACTGGCCGTCAACTTCAATACTTCCTGTGGGCGTTTCTTTTGGCACTAGTGCTGTTAGGGTGCTAGGACCGAATCTACCAGTATAAGTGCAATCCAGAGCCCCAATGTGGTACTTTTGCTACCGTCAAGCTACAGCGAGTCACTTTCTTATTACTATTACTGATACGCTTTTATGGCTAACGCTCACTCGCTATAGGGCATTTTCTATTGATTTTCGTCAGTCCGTGTGTGTTGCTTTTGCTCGGTGAAGATGTCTTAGGCAAGACACTAAGGAAGTATAGTTATCGTGAGATGGAAGAGAT